GATAGGAAAGGGGGGGGGGTGTGGGAAGAGAGAGACAGTGAAAGTGAGAGAGAGATTGAGAGACAACGTGATTGAGAGAGAAAGAGAGAGAACGAGAGAGAAAGACCGTGAGAAACAGTGAGTGAGAGAGAGAGAGAGAGAGAGAGAGAGCGAGAGAGAGAGAGAGAGACTGTTTGTAGATCATGTAACTGAGAAGTTATGTGTAATATCTGCTGCACGTCTCATGTTTCTGTTGATGTAACACTCCTTGACTCATGCTGGGGAAGGTTTCAGCCCAGTTTAAAGGGATAACTTACTTCACTAATTTAAAATGTGTTTGCGTTGGCATCTCAATAGTGTTGAATCTCCTTTCTTTAAAGGGATAATTCACCCAATTTACAAAATCACATGTTGCTTTCCGTTGCCCTTTCCTGCAGTCAAATGACCTAGTGGCCTCATGGGTGGAATGTTATTAATATTTTTCATCATTTCATAATTAATCAACATTATTTTAAGAATCCCGCCGAAAATCTGTTGTTTCTATGTCAAACGGTTTTGTTATATTTCAGCATTTGTGGCACAAAACCAATGCAAGTCTATATCTCCTGTATTAGCATTTTTCATGCGTCGTGTCCAGATCATCCTAAACTGTCTGATTGTGTAGGTCAGTGTTTCCCAACTCCGTTCCTCCAGTACCCCAAACAGAACACATGTTTGTTGTAGCCCTGGACAGAAACCCCTAATTCAACTTGTTTAATGATTATTGACAAGTAGAATCAGGTGTGCATGTCCAGGGCCACAATAACAATATGTTCTGTTGGGGGTACTGGAGGACCAGAGTTGGGAAACTCTGGTGTACCTCAATGAAGTTACTTTAACATGATTTGGATATGAAGTGTGAAAAATGCTAATAAAAATGGCATTTGGAGACAGTGGCCAGGTAAACAAAACCAAAACATGGATTGCTGTCTTGCATTGTCCATAGACTGCTTACAGGTTAATGAAAGCAATATGTAATTTTGTAATTTTGGATAAACTATCCCTTTATAAATCATGGCATTATTATGGAGACATATGAAAGACATGTCCATATGTACACTCTTAGAAAAAAAGTTGCTATCTAGAACCTTAAAGGGTTCTTCAGCTGTCCCCATAGGAGAACCCTTTGAATAACTATATTTGGTTGCAGGTAGAACCCTTTTGGTTCCAGGTAGAAATAACCTTTTAGGTTTCCATTTAGAAGCCTTTCTGCAGAGGGTTCTACATGGAACCCAAAAGTGATCTACCTGGAACCAAAAAAGGGGTTCTACCTAGAACCAAAAAGGGTTCTCCTATGGGTCCAGCCAAATAACCTTTTTGGAACCTTTTTTTCTAAGAGTGTAAGCATACCTTCAAATAAAATGTTACCAATGTACCTGAAGGGAATTGCGATATTGAGAGCTTGGAATTATAATGTTCTATCTGCAATTTTGCCCAAATTGAGTTATTGACATAGGCTTGTTCTGTTCAATGTTCTCTACCTATATACAGTGCCTTGCAAAAGTATTCAACCCCCTTGGCGTTTTTCCTATTTTGTTGCATTACAACCTGTAATTTAAATGGATTTTTATTTGGATTTCATGTCATGGAAAAAAATTACTTGTTTCAAAAAATTCAAAAAAATAAATAACGGAAAGGTGGTGCGTGCATATGTATTCAACCCCTTTGCTATGAAGCCCCTAAATAAGATCTGGTGCAACCAATTACCTTCAGAAGTCACATAATTAGTTAAATAAAGTCCACTTGTGTGCAATCTAAGTGTCACATGAACTGTCACATGATCTCAGTATATATACACCTGTTCTGAAAGGCCCCAGAGTCTGCAACACCACTAAGCAAGGGGCACCACCAAGCAAGCGGCACCATGAAGACCAAGGAGCTCTCCAAACAGGTCAGGGACAACGTTGTGGAAAAGTACAGATCAGGGTTGGGTTATAAAAAAATATCCAAAATGTTGAACATCCCACGGAGCACCATTAAATCCATTATTAAAAAATTGAAAGAATATGGCACCACAACAAACCTGCCAAGAGAGGACCGCCCACCAAAACTCACGGACAAGGCAAGGAGGGCATTAATCAAAGAGGCAACAAAGAGACCAAAGATAACCCTGAAGGAGCTGCAAAGCTCTACAGCGGAGATTGGAGTATCTGTCCATAGGACCACTTTAAGCCGTACTCTCCACAGAGCTGGGCTTTACGGAAGAGTGGCCAGAAAAAAGCCATTGCTTAAAGAAAATAATAAGCAAACACCTTTCATCACCCCGAGAACACCATTCCCACAGTGAAGCATGGTGGTGGCAGCATCATGCTGTGGGGATGTTTTTCATTGGCAGGGACTGGGAAACTGATCAGAATTGAAGGAATGATGGATGGCGCTAAATACAGGGAAGTTCTTGAGGAAAACCTGTTTCAGCCTTCCAGAGATTTGAGACTGGGACGGAGGTTCACCTTCCAGCAGGACAATGACCCTAAGCATACTGCTAAAGCAACACTTGAGTGGTTTAAGGGGAAACATTTACATGTCTTGGAATGGCCTAGTCAAAGCCAGAATCTGTGGTATGACTTAAAGATTGCTGTACACCAGTGGAACCCATCTAACTTGAAGGAGCTGGAGCAGTTTTGCCTTGAAGAATGGGCAAAAATCCCAGTGGCTAGATGTGCCAAGCTTATACAGACATACCCCAAGAGAGTTGTAATTGCTGCAAAAGGTGGCTCTACAAAGTATTGACTTGGGGGGGTGAATAGTTATGCATGCTCAAGTTTTCTGTTTTTTTGTCTTATTTCTTGTTTGTTTCACAATAAAAAATATATTGCATCTTCAAAGTGGTAGGCATGTTGTGTAAATCAAATGATACAAACCCCCCCAAAATCCATTTTAATTCCAGGTTGTAAGGCAACAAAATAGGAAAAATGCCAAGGGGGGTGAACGCTTTCGCAAGCCACTGTAGTACTCTAAATACCCCAGCTCATGTTGTTAAGTTAATAAGGATGTGAGATAAAAATTGCTCACACCATTCAAAACAATAAGGGTTGGTAACTTTAAAGCCAATTATCTCAGAATCAACTTTTTGCAGAAGGAACCTTACAATTCTAAGCTCACGCTACGTCACCTCCAACCCTTCAGAAATCTGGGGCTGTTAAACGACATGGCCACACATGGAACCAACCATCACTGGTGGCCGTGGTTCAACATGTCTGATCCTGCCTCCGTCACCATACCTGAATACAGAGAGTGGTACCATCACTACGGCTCCCAGGTGGGGACAAACATCACCGACTGTGACCTGGATGAGGAGATGAGCAAGGTGATGGTCAGATTAGGTTTTAGGGGGCTTGTGGTTCAAATCCTGTTTTCAGAGAGAATGGAGAAAGGAGTCCTTTGTATTTTTTATTAAGTTATTTATAAGGGGCTGTCTTTACCTCCCTCTAACTGTTTCCCCTACATTGAATTCCCTCTCTTTCTTCAACCCCTTACAAACTAGATGGGAAAAAAGGACAAACAGCAAGCAATCGCAGCCATCAAGAAGACAGAAGAAGAAGGAGAGAGAGAAAGAAAGAGAGGGAGGAGAGCTGAGAGAGAGAGAGCGGAAGAGAGAGCGTAGCGAGAGCGATGAGCGAGAGAGAAAAGAAGAAAGAACGAAAGCCCGAACACAACAAAAAGACACGAACAGCCTAATCGAACTCACCGCCACTCCCTCACTCCCTCCCCCTCCCTACCCTCCTCCCTCTCCCTCTCTCCTTTTTCTAGCATATTTCCCTTTGGTAACCCCCCCTCTCGTAACACATATCTCGCTCAAACCCTCTTAATTTCAGTACTTTATTAAGAAAGGCAGGTTACAAATATCATTATAAACTGGGTGGTTCAAGCCCTGAATGCTGATTGGCTGACAACCATGGTATATCAGACCGTATACCACGGGTATGAAAAAACATTTATTTTTAACTGCCTCTAGTTACATTGGTAACCAGTTTATAATAGCAAGGCACCTCGGGGGTTTGTGGTATATGGCCAATATACCACGGCTAAGGGCTGTGTCCAGGCACTCCACGTTGTGTCGTATTTAAGAACAGCCCTTTCACGTATATTGGCCATATATCAAACCTCCTCGAGCCTTATTGCTTAAACATACTCGACAAAGAATACAGGTTACAAATATCAACATACTCCACATAGAATAAAGTGTTTGTCCCTCTTGTCCCTCTCTCTCTGACCCCCAGGGTGTGGAAGGGACGGGCCTGGCGTTCATTGCCTTCACAGAGGCCATGGCCCAGTTCCCTGCCAGCCCCTTCTGGTCCACGCTCTTCTTCCTCATGCTGCTCAACCTGGGCATGAGCACCATGTTCGGCACCATGCAGGGAATCCTCACCCCCCTCATGGACAACTTCAGCCTGCTGGGACGCCACAGGACCATGCTCACTGGTAATACACAAACATTCACACACACGAATGCACAAATACACCTAAATAGCTGGGTTCTTTGTCAATATGGTTCAGTGAGTCACTAAATAGTTGTGTTCTTTGTCATTATGGTTCAGTGAGTCACTAAATAGCTGTGTTCTTTGTCATTATGTTTCAGGAAGTCACTAAATAGCTAAGTCGCTCTGGATAAGAGCGTCTGCTAAATGACTAAAATGTAAATGTAAATGTCATTATGGTTCAGTGAGTCACTAAATAGCTGTGTTCTTTGTCATTATGTTTCAGGAAGTCACTAAATAGCTGTGTTCTTTGTCATTATGGTTCAGTGAGTCACTAAATAGCTGTGTTCTTTGTCATTATGGTTCAGTGTGTCACTAAATAGCTGTGTTCTTTGTTATTATGGTTCAGTGAGTCACTAAATAGCTGTGTTCTTTGTCATTATGTTTCAGTGAGTGACTAAAGAGCAGTGTTCTTTGTCATTATGGTTTAGTGTGTCACTAAATAGCTGTGTTCTTTGTCATTATGGTTCAGTGAGTCACTAAATAGCTGTGTTCTTTGTCATTATGGTTCAGTGTGTCACTAAATAGCTGTGTTCTTTGTTATTATGGTTCAGTGAGTCACTAAATAGCTGTGTTCTTTGTCATTATGGTTCAGTGAGTCACTAAATAGCTGTGTTCTTTGTCATTATGGTTCAGTGAGTGACTAAAGAGTTGTGTTCTTTGTCATTATGGTTTAGTGTGTCACTAAATAGCTGTGTTCTTTGTCATTATGGTTCAGTGAGTCACTAAATAGCTGTGTTCTTTGTCATTATGGTTCAGTGAGTCACTAAATAGCTGTGTTCTTTGTCATTATGGTTCAGTGAGTCACTAAAGAGCTGTGTTCTTTGTCATTATGGTTTAGTGTGTCACTAAATAGCTGTGTTCTTTGTCATTATGGTTCAGTGAGTCACTAAATAGCTGTGTTCTTTGTAATTATGGTTCAGTGAGTCACTAAATAGCTGTGTTCTTTGTCATTATGGTTCTGTGAGTCACTAAGTAGCTGTGTTCTTTGTCATTATGGTTCAGTGTGTCACTAAATAGCTGTGTTCTTTGTCATTATGGTTCAGTGAGTCACTAAATAGCTGTGTTATTTGTCATTATGGTTCACTGAGTCACAAAATAGCTGTGTTCTTTGTCATTATGGTTCAGTGAGTCACTAAATAGCTGTGTTCTTTATCATTATGGTTCAGTGTGTCACTAAATAGCTGTGTTCTTTGTCATTATGGTTCAGTGAGTCACTAAATAACTGTGTTCTTTGTCATTATGGTTCAGTGAGTCACTAAGTAGCTGTGTTCTTTGTCATTATGGTTCAGTGTGCAGCTGTGTTCTGGGCTTTGTGATCGGACTTTTGTTTACCCAGCGCTCTGGGAACTACTTTGTTACGATGTTCGACGACTACTCTGCCACAATGCCCCTGATCATCGTGGTGGTCTTTGAGACGTTCGCTGTGGCCTGGGTGTACGGAGCTGACCGGTAAGGCGTCCAAACGGGTTTGCCAATACCAATGTATTAGTATAATACCAATGATGTACAGTACTCCTTTCTTTGAATAATTTATTCATGTTTTATTTTCTATGATACAAATATTAGCAGGTACAGATACAGGATTAGCATTGTAAACGGTACAGATACAGGATTAGCTTGAAACACGGTACAGATACAGGATTAGCATGTGTAACGGTTACAGATCGATTAGCTTTAAAGGTACAGATACAGATTAGCATGTAACGGTCAGATACAATTAGCATTGTAACGTTACGATCAGGATTGCATTGTAACGGTACAGAACGGTAGCTTGTAAAACGGTTCCGATACAGGATTAGATTGTAAACGGTACAAGATACAGGTTAGCACTTGTAACGGTAAGATAAGATTAGCATTGTAAACGTTACAGATACAGATTAGCATTGTAAACGGTACAGATACAGGATTAGCATTGTAAACGGTACAGATACAGGATTAGCATTGTAAACGGTACAGATACAGGATTAGCATTGTAAACGGTACAGATACAGGATTAGCATTGTAAACGGTACAGATACAGGATTAGCATTGTAAACGGTACAGATACAGGATTAGCATTGTAACGGGAGCAGATCAGCAGGATTAAGGCATTGTAAACGGTACAGATCAAGGATTAGCATTGTAAACGGTACAGATACAGGATTGGGCCATTGTAAACGGTACAGATACAGGATTAGCATTGTAAACGGTACAGATACAGGATTCGCATGTGTAAACCGGTACAGATTACAGGATTAGCATTGTAAACGGGACAGATACAGGATTAGCATTGTAAACAGGTACAAGATACAGATTAGCATTGTAACGCGTAAGAGATACAGGATTAGCATTTAACGGTACAGAGTACGGATTAGCATTGGAAACGTTACAGATAAGAAGCATGTAACGGTACAGATACCGGATTAGCATTGTAAACGGTACAGATACGGATTAGCATGTAAACGGTACAGATTACAGGATTAGCATTGTAAACGGTACAGATACAGGATTAGCATTGTAAACGTGACCAGCGGTCAGGAAATCAACTAATAAAGTGGATGTAGATAATGTTAAAAACATTTAAATGAATAGAATGAGAGTAAAATAGTTATGTGTTTGCTGAGTAGTTAGCTGAAACTTACTGTATTTATTTTATTTTATTTTCCACTTTGATGGTGAACTTTCTGCAATGCTAACATTCACTTCCAGTCGTTTTCGCTCGCATTGCTAGTCCCATTGTTTAGAATTTTTCCGCATTTATGCAAATACATATGGGATATTAGAATCCTCTTGTCCTAACCTGTAGATTTTCAACCTTTTGTGTTTATTTTTCTATTCAAGCTTTGTTTTAACAGGGAAGACATATTGAGACCTACGTCTCTTTTACAAATGTGCCCAATATAATACAACTCAGGTGTCTATACTTCAACAGCAAAGTTAAATAAGACGAAAGTTTATGAAGTAGGGCCTTGTAAACAAAAAGGGAGTCATGTAGAGATCTACGGGTCTTTAGCAAACTCCAGCCAACCTTTTGATACAGGATGCAGTGATGAGTATAAAAAACTGTCACCTGTGACAAAACGAAGGGCACTATGGTAGATGGCATCCAAAGGTTTAACAGTAGTTGCAGCTGCACTTTGATAAATAATATCACTATAATCAAGAACAGCTAAAAATGTTGATTGAATATTCTCCTTCCTACTGCTTAGAGAAAGGCACGATCTGTTTCTGTAGCAAAAGCCTACTTTAACCAGCTTCTTTACCAGCTCATCGATATGTTTTTTAAACTTCAAATCCATATCAATCTAAATGCCTAAGTATTTATATGGGGGAACACGTTCGATTTGAGAACCATGTAATGAGTGAACGTAGTTCATCTGAAACATTTTTACGAGTGTTTAAAAACAACATGTATTTAGTTTTGCCCGTATTAGTCTTAAATCAGCAAGGGATTCCTGCATAACTATAAAATCCGATTTTAGTAGTGACACAGCCAGATCAACAGTCGGGGCAGTAGCATACATAATAGTATCATCTTCATATAGATTAAGTTAACATTTTTCTACAGATTGACCAATGGTGTTTATATAAATAGTGAAGAGAACAGGTTGCAAAATCGACCCCTGTGGTACACCTTTATGTACTTCAAGACGTTCAGACTTAACCCCATCAATCATGATGGCCTGAGTTCTGTCACTAAGATAATCATGAAACCATGAACAGGCGTCAGAGAAAGATTTAGCCTTTCTGATTTGTCTTACACAATGATTCCTCAGTTGCTTAAAAGCTTGTCAGTCCGGGCCTAAGCCTGTGTTCCTGGCCTTGACCCAAGCATCAACTCTTTTATGAATGACTTCTGATACATCCGGACTGTACCAGGCTTTCGATTAACCTTAAACCCTTAATTTCTTGAAGGGAGCCTGATTATCCACAATAGTATTGAGACATCTGCAAAAAGGCTCAAAGCTAAATCAGGTTCAGGGATATCTGAAATACAATCAAGCCTCTGATAGGCTGGGTGGAATTGTTGCCATATTGTGGACACCTATCTAATCCTCTAACATCTCCACAAGTGTCTAGTGGGCTTGAGGCTATAGGCGTTGGTTTGAGATTCAGGATCTGTGATGATGACACATCTAGCATCTCCTTTCCTCCCAAGCTTCTTGGATGACATTGAGATCATGCTGAAATGGCGCCCCCCGGTGCTGTATAAGTACCTGTGGAAGTACGTGTGTCTGTTTGCTATGGTGGGCCTGCTGGCGGCCAGTCTACTGCGAATGGTCTTCAAACGACCGACCTACACAGCCTGGAACCACACCACGGTGAGATACCCCTACAATGGCCCAGGTCTCTGTTCCTGGCTGGCTAGATGGATGACTTCCTTTCCTTCCTTCCTTTTGACCTTCCTACCTTCCTTCCTTCCTAACTTCCTTGAATTACATTATTTTCTCAATTGCTTGATTACACTCACCTTTTTTCACTCTCTTCTTATACCTCCCTCTCTCCCTCCCTCCTTCTCGCTTTCTTTATTTTCTCTCTCTCTTACACTCTCATCCCCCTTATACACTCTTAGAAAAAAAGGTGCTATCTAAAACCTAAAAGGGTTATTTGACTGTCCCCATAGGAGAACCCTTTGAATAACCTTTTTTGGCCCAGGTAGAACCCTTTTGGTTCCAAGTAGAACCCTTTTGAGTTCCATATAGAACCCCTTAACACAGAGCGTTCTACATGGAACCCTAAAGAGTTCTACCTGGAACCAAAAAGGGTTCTACCTGGAACCAGAAAGGGTTCTCCTATTGGAACAGCCGAAGAACCCTTTTGGAACCCTAAGAGTGTATGTCTTCCTCTCTCTCCAGGCATCAGAGACAACTCTGGAGTACCCAGACTGGGCCCTGGCCATGTTGGCCATGCTGATCCTGGCTGCTACCCTGCCCGTCCCTGTTGGCTACATTCACTCCTGGCTGAAGAACCGTGCCATGGGCCCAGAGGGGGAGCTCGGGGGCCAGGAGATAGACCGAGAGAGGTACACCAAGTGCAACTCCAGTGACGCCCTGGACTCCAACTCCCAGCATGCCCCCTCGGTGGAGGATGATGGCCGACCCAGGGCTAGCTTCCTACCACTGGGCCTCGACCACTACAGACTCCTCCCACAACAGGAAGATATGGAGGAAGAGGAAGAGGATACGGTGTGAGAGAGGGGGTTGAGAATCAAGGGCTGAAGAGAGGAGAGCGGCAGTGGGAATGAGGGTCCGAGCGAGAGAGAGAGAGAGAGAGAGAGAGAGAGAGAGAGAGAGAGAGAGAGAGAGAGAGAGAGAGAAAGAGAGAGAGAGAGAGGGAGAAAGAGAGGGAGAGAGAGAGAGAGAGGGAGAGGGAGCGTCTCTTGACTGAAATAGTGGAAAGTACTCCACTTATATCCCCAGACTTTTAATTGATAATGAATCTTAATAGTGAATAACTATGTATATGACCGTTCATCCATATTACCAAAGAAATCTAACATTAGCACAATGGAATACCCTGTATCCTTAGTGACCTATCATAAGTGACCTATCATAAATTACCTATTATAAGTGACCTATCATAAGTGACCTATCATAAATTACCTATCATAAGTCACCTATCATAAGTGACCTATCATAAGTGACTTATCATTGTACTGCCAAGTACTGTAACAAATGCCTTATGGTTCAAGTGCCGTATTAACGCACCCAGGATCCTATTCCTTGAACTGTGATGACAGTTTCAACTAACTGCTCACGGGTAAATTATATGTATGAATTGTATTCTTGGGTTTCTTGTAGTGTGACTTGATTCGGATCCAAAGACACACTTATGTAGGTGAGGAGTTTAGAGGGAAGCGAAGAGGCTGAGTATCAAGGACTTTAAAGTCCAACTTGTATATTGTATAATAAGACAAGTAGAGGCTCTGATCCAGAGAGACACTTGAAATATACATTGGATATGTTCAGGGAAGTAAGGAGAGGAATTTGGGGCAAAGATTGGGGAAGTTGTGAAGTGATACTTGGTATGACCAGTGACCACCCATAAACAAATATCCTGCCACAGTAACTTGTGAAGGGTGTTTAGAAAATAACATGCCTTGTGTCTGAGGCAAGAGAACAATCCCCATAGCTGAGTCCCCACCAGGGGTCATGTCGCCAGGCAGAACCAGTGAGCTAGGTGTCTAATAATATATTTTGGACATACTGTATATCCAATTTAGAAACACTTACTCAAAACAGAAATTGTATTTTTGACTCATACTCATACTATTTCTCAGTGTTGAGTTTACCCAGGTCAACTGTTACTGTATTTCTCAGTGTTGAGTTTACCCAGGTCAACTGTTACTGTATTTCTCAGTGTTGAGTTTACCCAGGTCAACTGTTACTGTATTTCTCAGTGTTGAGTTTACCCAGGTCAGCTGTTACTGTATTTCTCAGTGTTGAGTTTACCCAGGTCAGCTGTTACTGTATTTCTCAGTGTTGAGTTTACCCAGGTCAACTGGCTAACTCATTGATCCTGCCTGGTGAGATTACCACCTAGCTCTGCGCATTCATGTCAATAGATATAAACTGGGATTTCTGAGTGCTTTACCTGTCAAACAAAGCTAGTAGCTGCAATTGAGACTGCAGAGAGAACAGAACCCTCCACAGTTACAACTGGGATGTAGACTTCTCAATGATTGTACAAACATCATCATGGAAACACTTAACATGACTTAGGCCTTATTAGTAACTATAATGTAATAATAGAAGTAATGATTGAATACCAGACATGTACCCAGTTACGGCCATCTTCCACTGCTTTACCATTTAAATAGTATTTGAAATTTGTATTTGAAAAAAAATACAAATTCTAATTCATACGAAAAAGGGAATCCAAAAGTAGTGACAATTCCAGAACTTGTTTACGACCCTGTTATTACATGGTAATTACAAAGATTATTTCATTGATAGTTAATATGGTATAACAAGGTGAGGCCTATGAAACATTACTGTACTGGAAGGATTGTTACACTTGGAGTCCCGCAGTCAAACAGACTCCAGGTCAGGTATGGGCAACTCCAGTCCTCGGGGGCCTGATTGGTGTCACACTTTTGCCCCAGCCCCATGATCTTCGGTTTAGAATGCAATTACTTTAATCAGCCGTGTTTGCTAGGTATGGGTGAAAAGGGTGACACCATTCCGGCCCCTGAGGACTGGAGTTGCCCATCCCTGCTCAAGGAGACTGGAGTTGCCCATACCTGCTCCAGGGGAATGGATGACAAAAAGTGAGGGAGACTGAAAGACAGATACACAGTCCTGGGTTCACTAAGACCTGAGGGTCAAATATACGTCCTGAGATAGATTAACTACAGGAAAGCTGGGTCGTATTCATTAGGGCACACCGTAGCAAAACGTTTTGCAACAGAAAACGAAAACAATTGTTTCTAATTGTTCAGGTATCCCCTGCCTGTTTCAGTCAGTTTTCTTCAGTTTGGTGCATAATAAACAGACCCTGTTGAGACAGTGAGAGGCCACATTGGCATAGAGCCTCTGCACTCCAGACAATCAAGGCAGCTTTGTTTTTGTGTGTGAGTTTATTACAATCTTCCCAACGCCATAGAGGTTTGCTTGCAGTGGCAGAGGAGCAATATGTTTTACTGTGTATTGTGAAAAAGCTTGTGCTATTATGCTTCACTTTCATCTTAGTTTGATCCATGTTGAGGATGGGTTTCAGCTTAGCTTGATCCATGTTGAGGATGGGTTTCAGCTTAGCTTGATCCATGTTGAGGATGGGTTTCAGCTTAGCTTGATCCATGTTGAGGATGGGTTTCAGCTTAGCTTGATCCATGTTGAGGATGGGTTTCAGCTTAGTTTGATCCATGTTGAGGATGGGTTTCAGCTTAGCTTGATCCATGTTGAGGATGGGTTTCAGCTTAGCTTGATCCATGTTGAGGATGGGTTTGCATGGACAACACCTTGGCCTTGTTAGCTCCCTAGGAACTGTGATTATGTATGTATGTACAGTTGAAGTCTGAAGTTTCCATACCACTCGTTTTTCAACCACTCCACGTATTTCTTGTTAACAAACTATAGTTTTGGCAAGTCAGTTAGGACATCTACTTTGTGCATGACACAAGTAATTTTTCCAACAATTGATTACAGACAGATTATTTCACTTATAATTCACTGTATCACAATTCCAGTGGGTCAGAAGTTTACAAACACTAAGTTGACTGTGCCTTTAAACAGCTTGGAAAATTCCAGAAAATGATGTCATGGCTTTAGAAGCTTCTGATAGGCTAATTGACATCATTTGAGTCAATTGAAGGTGTACCTGTGGATGTATTTCAAGGCCTACCTTCAAACTCAGTGCCTCTTCACTTGACATCATGGGTAAATCAAAATAAATCAGCCAAGACCTCAGAAAAAGAATTGTAGACCTCCACAAGTCTGGTTCATCCTTGGGAGCAATTTCCAAATGCCTGAAGGTACCACGTTCATCTGTACAAACAATAGTACACAAGTATAAACACCAAGGAACCACGCAGCCGTCATACCGCTCAGGAAGGAGATGCGTTCTGTCTCCTAGTGATGAACATACTTTGGTGTGAAAAGTGCAAATCAATCCCAGAACAACAGCAAAGGACCTTGTGAAGATGCTGGAGGAAACAGGTACAAAAGTATCTATATCCACAGTAAAACAAGTCCTATATCGACATAACCTGAAAGGTCACTCAGCAAGAAAGAAGCCACTGCTCCAAAACCGCCATTAAAAAGCCAGACTACGGTTTGCAACTGCACATGGGGACAAAGATCATACTTTTTGGAGAAATGTCCTCTGGTCTGATGAAACAAAAATAGAACTGTTTGGCCATAATGACCATCGTTATGTTTGGAGGAAAAAGGGGGTGTCTGCAAGCCGAAGAACACCATCCCAACCGTGAAGCACGGGGGTGGCAGCATCATGCTGTGGGGGTGCTTGGCTGCAGGAGGGACTGGTGCACTTCACAAAATAGATGGCACCATGAGGAAGGAAAAGTATGTGGATATATTGAAGCAACATCTCAAGACATCAGTCAGGAAGTTAAAGCTTGGTCGCAAATGGGTCTTCCAAATGGACAATGACCCCAAGCATACTTCCCAAAGTTCTGGCAAAATGGCTTAAGGACAACAAAGTCAAGGTATTGGAGTGGCCATCACAAAGCCCTGACCTCAATCATATAGAACATTTGTGGGCAGAACTGAAAAAGTGTGTGCGAGCAAGGAGGCCTACAAACCTGACTCAGTTACACCAGCTCTGTCAGGAGGAATGGGCCAAAATTCACCCAACTTATTGTGGGAAGCTTGTGGAAGTCTACCCAAAACGTTTGACCCAAGTTAAACAATTTAAAGGCAATGCTACCAAATACTAATTGAGTGTATGTAAACTTCTGACCCACTGGGAATGTGATGAAAGAAATAAAAGCTGAAATAAATCATTCTCTCTACTATTATTCTGACATTTCACATTCTTAAAATAAAATGGTGATCATAACTGACCTAAAACAGGGAATTTTTACTAGGATTAAATGTCAGGAATTGTGAAAAACTGAGTTTAAATGTATTTGGCTAAGGTGTATGTAAACTTCCGACTTCAACTGTATGTATGTATGTATGCCTCTGACTGAATCAATGTCAATGTTAAACTGTGAGCATGTGTGTGTGTGTTCGTGTGTGTCTGTCTGTCTGTCCAAATGTATGAGTTGTTTTGAAAGATGTCTTACCTCAAGTATGTATGTGTTGTCAAATTAGAGGATTCTACTGTATATACCAAATAAAGTATACTTTTGAATAGGTGATTTACTGTTCCGTGTTTGTCTTTGGCTTCTATTCCTTCTAGGGCAGGGCTTTTCAGGCTTTTGTTCTATCCCAGCGCTAACACATTTCCAATAATGATCTGCTCAACTGATCATGGTCTTGAGATAGGTAGAGAAAGGGGGTTGAGATAACTAGAGAAAGGGGGTTGAGATAGGTATAATAAATATCTATTATATTTTTTACTGTATTCTATTCTAAAGCAGTGGTCCAGTGGATGAGCAGGCTCTGAGGTTATGATGGAGTTTTACAGTGTATTGGATGATAAAGAGGCAATCTGCTTTAGAATAGAACAATAGAGTAGAATATAATGTAGATACTTCATTGTCAGTTTTGTGAGAAACTGA